TTGGAATGTGAACATGTTAGTTTCAAACAAAGTTCAACAGCAGCTGCTAAATCCAATAAAAGCAGAAGTCGTTGGAGTTGAATGTGATATCTCGCGCGCACAGTTCGATTGCAGTTTCTGTCGTACTTAATCGATAAATTTGTCCATGTATTTGTAAACTTCTACCATACCAAGATAGCAGAAATTGAATAAGTTTAATTTAAAAAAATGAATATCTTGGTTAATTAATGATTGTTCCAAATACTTATTAATAACAAATTTTTTTTTAATTAAACAATGTAAATAAATATTTTAATTAGTTCAGCTTATTCAATTTTTTTTAATAAACATTTCATTTTCATTACGTACAAGGAGACATTTATTTTAAAAGCTTTCGAGCAATATAGCAATTGCATGTGTTTAATATACTGAATTTATTAATTATGAAATATTAATGTTTATTTATTAAATATTTAATGAATTTATCGAATATGTTATTACTCTTATCCGATATTATATTGATAGTACATATTCGAAGATTTACATATGTCTTAATTCCATAATTCAATATTACAATTCAAATTGTGATAATTCTTGACCGCATAAGATCTCTAAAATTACCAATTAGTAAATGTACATTGACATTAGCTACGTTACAATGTAACAATATATGATACAGAGAACAAATTATTAGAGAAACTATATTTCAAAAAAAATTGTCCATAATCTTTTGCGTATGTAAAAAGTCAAAATAAGTCTTTTTTCAATTGTATTTCTAAGTGTCCAAATTAATAGATGTTTAGTCTTATTATCATGAATTAGTAACAGAACCGTTCTCTATAAACGGTACTTGTCACTTCGTCGCCCACTATGAAGACGCGGAGCGAATCATATGCTAAAGTCCAACGTTGAATAAAGAATTAAACGAAATAAAGGACACGATTCCGAGTCACGTAGTTACAACTGCACGATTCAACGCTCCCCTCGTCGATTTTCCTCTATAAGGGCACGCACTAGCTACCAGAGTAAACGCCAAAGAGTGGAAGAACTGACGCACTTCCGGCGCGTGTGCCACTGCGACACTGCTTTTCTTTTATGTATGCACGAAAGTGACTCGGATAGTACAGCTTGCTTAGCATCCCGTTCGGCTTAACATAAACGAGCACCTCTGGTTTTTCTTAGTATACATTTGGATGATTCACGCATGCTTTATTACAAACTGTATTTAGTAACTGAATGATATCAAAGTTTATTTATTAAACGAACAATGTCATCGTGCCAGGGGCGATAGTATTACGTAATTGTAGAAAAATAGGATCCTTACTGTTGACAAGTACAAATCTTAATGAACTTAAAACCCACGATTTAAAAAAGGTTTTACGTGATTACATGATTCATATGTCAAATCACTTTCTATCGTTTTTCAATATTTTTAATTGTAAACTAAATCTATCAGTATATAAAATTATAGTTTTAATTTCTTAATTTAATCCCTCTATTTACAATTGATGATTAAAGGAAATTGTATTAAACCTTGACAGAAAACATAAAAAAGGCATGAATTTTATTTCTGATAAGATTACCGATTAAAAAATAATTTTCACGTAACTAAAAATGTTCATTTTAAGTGTATACTTCAAATATCATGAGAAATTATTATTTCTAATTGCTAATTTTTTCACGCTTTAGAAACAATTTTCTTATATAATTCAAAATAAATTAGCTTACAAAGGCCTTAATACAAAAATTTGAGCAATTACAATCATCTGTTCATTAAATACATAAATAATCAAAATAATCAAAATACAATATATTTTTCCATGCACATGAAAATGTACAGTATCTTTGTAAATCGAATAGATATATTATTTACTATTATTAATAAATACATTTAAACATGAGTGTCTTCGGGAAATTTCTAATAATGCTTCGCAAATAAGAATACAGAAATATAAATATATTCTATAGAATATTTTAATTTTTATGAAGTCGGAAAATAAAAAGTTTTTTATTTAAATAATGTACAATTTTTTCGATTTCTATTTTATAGTATATCAAAAGTAGGTAAAATGACATCTGAAAAAATGATATTCGTAATAATTTTAATATTTATAAAGACTATTTAAAAGAAAAGTATTTAATAATTAATATTTTTATTTATAGTTAAGAACGCATCTTTCTGTATAACTCAATCACCTCAATTTCAAAGTTCGATACGATGAAACAAACTGAAAATATGTGGTACGAAATAAGTTTACTTTCGGTTAATATAGAACTATACAGATACAAAGCAAAAGTTCGAGATGATAAAATTAAGAAAGATATAAAAAAAAAAACTGAGAGGCATTTGAATATCCTGCAACGGCTTTTCATCATTTGTAAGTCACTTAAATGTTATCTAAGAACCAACTAGAAACTTAATAACCATTTTGTATTTTTATATTGTGGTGGGTCTCGATTATCGTGTGAATAGTTTATGATACGACCTTTTAATCGCTTAGTCTTTAGATATTTTGCATTATTATGTGCTGAAGTACGCAAGCAAGCAAAAAAGGCCAAAGATGACAGTCGCGGGTCAAGTGAACGCTAATTTATTGGAATGTTTATGTGTCGCGCGCTGGTTCACTCGTTTGTTTTATCGCTTATGACATTTGCTTTTATATAAAGGAGAAGAAAGATTTATCATACGTACGCAAAACGATCGAGTCCCTAAGTATAATCATGAAGAACGATCACGCTTAAATTCTTCCTATTATTCTACCTACACATTCATGAGTTCATGCATCGATCTATTTGGATAAGCAAAATAAAATAAAAAAGTGTCTTCTATTCTTTTCATTTTGATACCGACACTTCTTAAATTCATCGTATTTTTTCTGTTTTAGATTTAACAAGTATTATATAACAAGTACTAAAAGAATTAAATTTTGTTCAATGTCATTTTCTTATATAAAAGAGTAACATCATTTTTTTAGATTAAATAAGTATTAATAAAAATTTAAAGAATAGGAATACATATAAAAGAAGAGAAATAAGAAAATACTTTGGATGATTAGTTCATTTATAAACCATATACTTTCAATCAATGCTTTTGTACTATGATTTTAATCGTGGTCATATATTACATACAATTAGTATTACCACATTCTGTGAAAAAAGTTTATTAGCAGGTGAAATTTTATATTTTCTCTTTTTTACAACTATATATTCATATCAAGGCTACTGAAATTATAGGTTAGTATTCATTTTATTATATTGAAACTTTTTATTTTTAATGAATATATTTAAAAATTCCTCTTATTATTCGCATGATCGCAGAAAAATATAATGACGTTATACAAACAAATCAAATTGATAAAAATATTAAAAGACGTCATGATCCAACGAATGCCTCACTGTCAACAGATTCGATAAGGCTTATTAGCAATGTTTTAGATATTTCCCTCATAAAAACCAAAACTCATCATAAATTTTATGTTCTTACAAATCTATGGATCATGCGAAGTTTCTATCGTTACAAAACTCCTGTTTTGTCTAATTCCTATTCATATAAACAGGACGTTTCAATTATCAATTCAGTGACCCATAACATTTTCAATATTCCTACTAAAAATAAATTGAAATAAAGCTTCTCATCACTGTTAATTTTACTGTTAATTTCAATATATGGAAATGTATGATTCATGTACAACTTTTTATACATTTGTTTTTCTGTATAAAAAGTTAATAAAAATATATTTATAAAGCTATTTCATATTATTTTTAGTACTTTATTTTATTTAGCTTTAAAAGCATCTAAACCTAAGTATGTATAAATAATATTTATAAGATTTTATTAAAAAGTTATATTATAAAGAATGTGTCAAATCATCAAAAAAATTTGTAGATAATATACTTTTAATTCATTGATTTTATAAAGTTTTTATAAATTATTTTTATTTAGTACAAAGGATGAAGAGAAAATAATAAAAGTTTTAGAAATTTTACTCTACAATTCTTTATTAAATTAAATTGGGAAATATATATTTTATGAAATTAAAAGAAAACTATATTGGCATTGATATCTTTTGAAACGCTGCTTTGAAATACAATTTGGTCTTTCATATTTCCTTAATATATTTACTTTATAAATTAATTTTATTATATGCAAATATTTGAAAAATATGTAACTCGAATAACGCGATAACATTAAAAATCTTATAATGGCTAGATTATTTTATCACAAGAAATAATCGGATATGTTATCAAAATCCTGCTCTTCATAAGATGTTCTTAATTGTAAGATACTTTTTATATAGTAAAAATATGATTTAATATAATTCACTATCATTTCTATTAGATTTATTTTCAAATCTGAACAAATGAAGGTTATCGTAAATTCCATTACAATATTTTAATGCATTAAATCAAATTAAAAAAGAATACATGGTAATTATATTCAAAGAATTATATATAAAATATTAAGAAAATAAAACCCTTACAATATAAAATCTCAATGATCAAAATGAACTGAAAATAATGCAAAGATTTAAAAGTAATTCTCTTTGAAAATTATTATTCCGTTGATTCATACATTTTCATAGTAATTCTGGAATCATTTTAGCTTCTTTTTTTTACTTTGGAAATTAAAAATTTCACCGATTAATAATTTGTTATTAATAATATCCGCTATTAATGATGTATTAATGTATGTATGTAATATATTTCAAAGTAGAGCTCTAAATATTGTTAAAAATATGAAAAGTGTAAATGATGTTTTTTAGCAAATTATATTCGCCTCAATTTTTCTTTATAAAGGTATTATTTATTATAATCCTTTTGATCAAGCAAAAATCAATTAAAATATTTAATTAAAACATTACTCCGAAAATACATAATTAAATTTACATTACATTAACTTATCGTTAGCGATTAATTGTAATCTGTAGATTACCCTGTCATAAAAAAATCAAAACGAAACGTCGATAACGCGGTACAAAAATATTTTTTTATTCAATAAACATATTGATTAAGGAACTCACCCATTGAATGGATAACTTGCAAACGCTGCGTCGTACGGGTGATAAACAGATGGATAAGGCCAGGCCGCGGCCGCTCCAGCGCCAAGATTCTCCTTAAGATCCAAACCAGCTGCCTAAAAATAAGTGTACAACTTCAATATACAATTTTCTTTGAATTTGAATGGTTGAATTATAAATATTTTATTGAATGACGTATACATTACGCATAACATATTTTGTATCGCATTTTAATTTGTAAATAAGATTATAGCTTGGTAATTAATAATTCCCTATTGTTAAAAGTTAAAAACATTACTTATGACGTTCAAAATAATCAAACTATATATAATAAACATTAATTCAACATTACTTCATGTTCCAGCAAAAATATCCGTTAAATTATACAACTGTCTTATTAATTCAAGACAGAACTAAAGAAAGAAGCGAACAATCAAGTCGATAAAACATCCTGGTCGCAATTTGTGCACTCCAACAAAATTCTTGGACCTGGTCATTATTGCGTAACATACTTATAAATTCGACGATCAGTTGAAATCCAGTGGCTTTAATTGATATGAAATTCAATGTCTGTCAAAGGGGCGCATCTTTCGACGTTTTGTAATCTCTTATTCACAACCAGTACAATATCAAGAAATGCCATGAACAGTAAAGCGAATCGAGAACTGACAATGCCCTACCTCGTAAATTAAAGTAACAATCTGTAGCTTTTGAACAGAAGCAAAAAATCAAGCAGATCGCCGAAATTCATATTGTATTTACGGCACGCTGACAGCATCCATCGAATATTATACCTTTTTAGCAATTTTGTGAGATCTCATAGACATAAACTCACATAAACAGATATATAGAATTTTTTAAATAATCGTTTACAAATATAATTATTATATTTATTATGTTATTGTAAAATACTCATGTAAGAACTATTCTAATTTCGTTTTGGGCTTTTATTATGATTAATATAGCGAACTCTTCAGCATTCGTATTAAAAATAAGAAATTTTTATTTACTCTTTTAATACTACATTATACACTCCGACGGAAAAAACGTTATTTCATATTATTATGTGAAAACGTTATGACTTTACATAATATGCACTTCAAACATATATAAATATATCTGATAGTTAATCGATAATCTATCACAAATAATAATAATAAATAATAATCAATAAATGAATACAACTTTTCAAAATACCGTAACATTTCTTTTATATAGAAAATATAGTCCGTTAAAATATTTGAACGATAACGTAATTTTTTGTAATAGAGTACAAGCGAGTTCTGCGCTTTCGCATAATTCTTTACATGCAAGCATACTAGAATGTAGAAGCCTGAGGAATGGAAACCCCCTACTTTAAAGCCGATGAACCCAATTTCATTTCTCGGATCAATTTCTTCAGGCATCAGTAATTCTCGATAAAACTTTGATATATGTTTTTAAAACAGCAGAATGTATGCTTTCATTTAAATATCATAAAGTTAATACCATAGAAATATATAATTCTAATATATATTTGATTATTAATAAAAGTAGAAAAAGTAAATTAATGGAAATTTATGAAAAACTTAATCGCAATAGAATATATTTCTGGATTATGAAAAAAATAATAATGTTTTTATGTAATGGAATCATTTTTAAAATTTGCAATATAAAAATTTATGAACTTTCTTGGCATTAAAATTAATGTCACTTGCAACAAAATAATAGCCACAACGTAAATATTCGAAGTGAAATATAATTGGGAGATGCTGGGATACGCAAAAAGAGTGTCTAACTAAACAAGTGAGCCTGATAACGAGCTGACTAGAATATAAAACTCAAGAAAAATTTGCAAATCAGTATCTTCATCATTTTGTATAGGAAAGTATACTACCCGAGACAAATTGACAAACTCACCGTCGGAGTATAGAAGGGCGCCTGTTCAGCCCCTAAGCCGGGGAAATAAGCCGCCATGCCCTCACTAGCAGCGGCAGCCGCAGCCGCAGCGTAGGGGGCGCTGTACATAGAAAGGGCTGCAGTCGGTAAAGCGCCCAACCTTTGATAGCCACCGAGCAACTCATATTGGCACGAGCAGACGGTTTGACCGGTGAGGGGATCCGTGAAAATGGGCCTCCCAGTGTCACAGCATCTGCCAGGCCCAGGTCCCGAGCTCGCAGCCTGAGTCGCCGTTTGAGGTCCGCCACTTTGCGAAGCCGGACTTACGGAGGCGACGGCCGTCGGACTGCCTCCCGGTGGCCTTACCACCGCACTCGTTACCGCCATTCTCACGCCTAAAGGGTGATGGGGCTGATGAAGCGCTGTCGTTCCACCTGACGAAGAAGTCGCGTTATTTCCTGAACTACTCAGAAGGGACGAACCGATTATGGAAGCCGGAGAGACCGAGGATGACGCCAACGACGAGCTCACAGTCACAGGGCACTAAAATACAAAGCATAAATATTATTATAAAATTGATAATGCACATGTTACTTTTGTACTTTTTATAATATTATTTTATGACATTACAAAATTTCAAACATCTAAATTTCATTCTGTATTAGATCATTGAGATATGTATAATGTATTCTAGAAACATTATATCATGTTTTGTTATTATTAATAAAATTATACTGAATTTATTTATTTGAATGGCTAAAATACTTCTCAATGAAATTAATGTAAATTTAGCTGGAATTTTCTGCTCAACAATTGAGAAGGTTTTAATAAATCTTTAAAAAGTAATTTATCCTTCTGTTCGGAGATTTATTATTTTAATTATATTTATATTTGTTTATTATACAATATATTCTTTTACACTATCAGTAAAATACATAAACATAGTACATAGTACAGTAAAAAACATAGTACATAGTATAGTAAAATTAGTTAATTATTAAATTCAAGTATCGAACAGCGATTCAATTATTAGAAATATAAAAAAAATTCATATTTATGTTACCGCAATATTTAAGTCACTCGTTACATATCAAAAAAGTCTACAATAATTGGACGTTCAATGCTTCATATATCGGCTAGTTTAAAAGATGACAGCAAAAGACTTCTCATTTCAGTCATTGTGTATTCCAGTCTAGCACATACCGAGTCAACGTATTTATAACATACGCCACTTGACATTTTCCGGCATAATCGGTTCGCATTATAATATGCAGTGCGCAATATCCGGTAATTCAACAAAACAACAGACGCACGACATAAATGTTAGAACTCGTTGTATCGTATTGCCCCACCTTAAAAAAATTACTCATTGCTCATGTACAAATATAATGAAGCGACAAGGTAATTTTCATGAACTGGTGTGTCTTCGATTATATTGACGAAACTGACAACTGACGCGGATAGAGGAACAAGAAGGGAACTAATGTGACTAAGTATGGAAACAACATGGTCTCAGCAAAGCTGTCCTCTTTTTAATACTTTTTTTCTCTATCTCTTTCCGTTTGCGACGACTAATGATGTTTATTCAGACGAGACAATAACCCGCGGGCCTTTGACTCACAGATATTATATATTTTCTGCATGTATGTATGCTTGCATGTGTACCTTCAGACGAAGGAGAAGAAACTCATTGTTCAGCTTTACAAGGTTCTAGAGGAAAAGGAGGAAAAAAATTTTAAATTTCTATTAACATTATTAATAACATTTGTTCTTATTGCAGTGATCGATGTAATTGTTATAAAAAAGCAGATCTTTATAGAGGGTTTGGATATTCTTAGGCACTTCAATAAATATTTATTAGATAATATAATGTAATAATAATCTATTATTTGAGCATCATCACGAATTATAACAACTATACAAAATATTTTTTTCATAATTTAATTAATTTGATTTTTTAATAGTTGATTTGTCTGTAATATTAATTAATTGATGTGAAAAATAGCCCATTTATTTCTTTAAAAATATATTTTGCAATTTATATTTTCATAATTTAAAATTATAATTTATAATATAAGAAATTCGTATATTTTGGCGTGAATTATCAAAAAATTTACATACCTTATTTCTATTATTTATTGAGAAAAGAAATATACAATTGGTTATATAAAGATTATTCTTTGGGAAATTATTAATCGTTCGAAATAATAATTTTTGACGCATTAAAAGCTTTACATAAAAAATTTAAGGATTATTTAATAAAATAATCGGTACAATTTAAGTACATAAATTTTAACATAGCAATCATAGTATAAAATTGATATAACCGTTTTTTTCAGGCAGACGAGTAATGCATGTATGCTAAAACATTATATAACATATCTAAAACATTAGAAATACTTTAAAAAATATATTAAAATGGTTTAAAGAAGTATATAAGTATAAAACTTTTAGTAATAAGCTCAGAAAGATTCATAGTTAATGTTGAAAAAATTCATCGATAAAAGCAATCGAGTAATAGGGATATTTTTAACAAAGTATATTTATATATTTCAGGAAAATTTTGTGGTTTTGCAGGTATAATGAAAAATATTTTGCTTTATATTATAGATGATTATTTTTAAATTCTGAAAAATGATATATTTATTAAAAAGTATTTAAATTAATTTTAATACTTTTTAAAATAATTTATTCACATAACCTTTTTTAGAATTTATAATCAAATTCATGGTAGAACTTCAGTGAAGATGCGAATCTTAAAGAAAATCTTCAGCAGAACAGAGAAGTATAAATTTTTGACACGCAGGCTGAACGATGCACTACAATATATTATCCGTTTTGCATATACGTGCTTTTTGTTTGGACGTTTGGACACATACGACAGAGCTGAGATCTATTCAAACTTTTATCTTTACGCGTATTCGTGCATACACTGCATTTTGATATAGGACGACCGTGTTTTTCTTTACACTTTTTGTGCACGCTTGTATAAGATCTTCTTGAGCACCGATGCGTAAAATTACAAATTTTTCATGTATAAAGCTTACGATTAGATTTGATTGTCCACGCATTATTTAAACTTTTTCTTTTAAGAAAAAGAGATTATATGAGAAAGCAAAACGTGAAAAAATGACATATTTTAAAGTTGTTTTCAAAACGCGAATAAAATTTTATATTAATATTCATAGTGGATTGAAGGATATCATTGTATAATAGATATGAAATACATTAATAATATTCATAATCTGTAAATTGATAGAATTAAAGGTGAAACGAAAGGGTTGATGTCCAAAAGAATAAAACTGATATACAAAAGTGAGGTATTTAATTATTCGAATAAAAAAAAGTTTTCAATTTATTTCATTAAACTGATAATTATTTAACATTAACCAAGCAGATTTCTATAAAATATATTTTTATTTAAAAATAATTTATATCCGATTGAAATTCATTTATTAACTTAAGTTGTGATTTAATACTTAAATTAACATTGTGTTAAATGTATGTAATAATTATAAAATAATCTTTTAAATCTATTATACATCATTTATTAATATTATTTTTCAATCTTTATTAATTCTATTGAAATTATTTGTCGACTGTACTAACATACTTCCTTTACTATTATTTAATAAAATAATGAAACTTGTAAAATATTTTTTTTGCATGTGCACATATGAATTAAGAAAATAAAAAATAAAAAAAGTTTATACTAGGAAGAAATATTTGAAAACGAAATAGTTCAGACTGTTATATGATCTACCTCCATAAATCTCAGCATAGTTTAACGTTTTATAACCTACAACCGCAATATGCACACAAGCAAAGTTAAGCTTTGCAAAAGGATCACGCTCAGAACCGAGAACAGCTGTCGTTCTCTAAAAGGTTCTCGCACTTTTCACCAATAGGTAAAGCTCCCCTCAAACATCCCCGTTCACAAGCTTGTTCTTCCCCTCTCTTTTTCTCATTAATTCTACATCGAATACCGAGCTAAATAGATTAGAACAACTTGAGTGTTGTGCTGCCTTTAGAGATCAACGATTCTCCTCCCTTATGGGTCTGTTTACTTTGCCTATGCGTCGCTTATGATGTATGTACGTGGCTGTAAACGTGTCTGGACACGCGGCATCGAACGAGAACCGCGATTAAACATAAGATATTTATGGTATTTACGGATGAGTAACTGTGATTTTTCTGCTCACTCTGTTGACTCAATGATTGTTATACTATGACTTTGAAATCCTCGACGGTTTGATCCTTAAATCTATAGCTTCACCTTCATTCCATTCTTCGTACATTTTATTTCTATACAATTTTATGTTTATTGATAGTGATTCGTTCATGATTCGTATTTAATACATTATATATTTTTATTATGTGATTTTTTTATAAATTTAAGTAAATAATATTATAAGTTTATTATTCGTATATTTATAACGATGAATGAGTTATTTATTTTAATTTATTTAAAAGGAGTGAGTGAAGCTTTTTATTTATACTTTATGAAATGTTCTAAATTTTAACTATCACAAGCTGTTTCCGCTCCACGACTAATAAATGTTGAAATCATTGTTACTGGTTTTTCCCACAATCACCAAGTTAAATGGGTACATGTAAAATAATGTAACATGTAAATATTATACTGTTTACTGCGCGATTTGTTCCACGTTCTTTTTACTTTCCTCATTATCAATTATCAAATATACCATAATATATTTTATTTCGTAAGCTGTAATTGAATCAATATGTAAGAATTTATATATAAATTTAAAATCGAACGCAAATTTTATAATCTTGAAATTTTTATACATATATTTATATATTAATTTTCATGCTTAAAATTAAATTTTTCATCCATAATAAATTTTTTTACATTATTGTATAAAAAAATTTCAAATACATTTTTTCTACCGAATGAATAATATCAAAATAAAAAACTGTAATTAAGATCGCAAAGTTAGATCTAATTTTCTTATTGTTAAAGAAGTTTTCAAATTAGTTAAAAACGCCTCATTTAAATACAAAGAAACTACTACATATATCATGAGTTAATTTATATAAGCATTTAAGAAATTTGTAAAGTCAATCCATTCTAAAACCATTACAACATGATTTGAATTAAATTTAAGCTTTTATTAATTTTTTCTATATAAATTGTATTTTAAAATAGTAATATAATAAAAATTATAATATAGCAATACTTCAATTTAAAAATTTAACTTTTATTGTATAAATAAAATTAAAAATGACAATGCTATCAAATTTTAATATCTACATGCTTGTAATTTTGCACTTATGACAATTAAATATAAATAACAAAATTAGTATTTTAACAATAAATAATTTACCAAGTTTAATATTTCATTACATGCAACTATTTCATTTAGACAATTAAGATTAACGAATTTTCTCTCAATAGTGAATACAAAACTTAATTAATTACTAAAATCGTTTGGATAATTAATGTTAAGAAAGTGAAAGTTTCAGGAAAATTTAAAAAAATTTTTAAACCAGATATTTTGTCTTCACAAAATAAACATTTT